GTCCCACCACGGAAAAAGTCATCTGTCTTCATCAGGCCCAGAAATAGGGCCCGTGTCCAGACATTTTACGCCCAGAATAAATCCAAGCTTACATAGTCAATTAACATTTGACAAAGTAAACAGGAACATACAATGGAATAAAGACAGTCTAGTCAATAAACAGTATTGGGAAAACTTGACAAATAACATGTAAAAAAAACTATACCACCTTCTTACCTTCTTATACAAGAATAAGCTGAAAATGGGTTAAAGACTTAACTGCATAATTAATGGAGATATAACTGGAAAAGGCAGACATGCTCATGAAGGTTGATGGAAAAGAGCATTGAATACACCACTTTATTGTACACAGTGTTTTGTGTGCTTATATCAGGCAGAAGTAACCCAATCTAAGGGTCATAGAAAGTCTCTCTGAGAATGTAAAATTTTATCTAAAACTTAAGGGATGAGTAGAAAATCACCAAGAGGTTAGAAGTAGTCTCCCAGGCAAAGGAAATAGTATGTGCCACATATTTGGGAGAAAAGCTTCAGGCCATTGAGAAACAAAAAGACTAGTCTGATCAGAGTGGAAGATGAGGCTAAAGAATTAGGATGTGGGTTTTAGTGGGGTGGGGACCTTGCAAGCCTCACTAAGGATTCTGAACTTTATCACAAAGTGGTACAATCATAACTTGTTTTCAAAAGCTCACTAGGTGGTTTAACATATCATTAAAAGTGTCTGTGGGGACACAGAAATGGGAAAGATCAACTGATTTGGTAGCCTTCCCAGAGAAGAAACATTTGAGTTGAGCATTGAAAAATTCGAAATGAGCTTTGAAACATTCATGAGATTCTACCAGGCAGCAAAGGAGAAACGGCTTTGCAAAAAGAGGGAACAATGACGAAGGCACCAGCATATAAAAAGAGCTGGGCATGCTGGGGAACCGGAAGCAACTATACAGTACTATGGTAGAAAGTGGAGAGAAGACAGTGGAAAATAAACCTAACAGGCACATCCATAACATTTTTATGTATAAATGGTACAATATGGAACAAATACCATATGTTTAAATATTTAAAAGTTAAAATCATGCTAACAAATTATATGAAATTTGTTCTCCCTACATACTGTCATATTCAAAAGATGGTGAATGAGAGTCTGTATAGTGTGGGTAAATATGGTAAATTTACTTTCATATAGGCCTTTATTTATACTTAACAGTCTAAATATTATTATATCTTAATGGGAGACTTGCCAAGTCATACAGTTCTAAAGCAAAAGTTCATCAACTTTATGACTAAGAAAATTACATAAATCTCGTCAGATCACAATGATTAAGAGTCACCTACCAGGTTCTACAGCTAGTTGTTTTTTTGTTGGTGGTGGTTTGTTTTTCAAGTAATTCCAGTAATCACTGCATATCTGACATGAATAATTGGATACAGATATGAAATACTGAAAAGTTTGTGAAACTGTTTATTAAAATAAAAATAAAAACTGCTCAAGTGAGGTTAGCCCCACTGGAATTTTATAGAGTCTTGCAAGATATCTAAACAAATTATATACCATGAAAATCCAATTATTTCATTTTTTTATAACAAAGTCTAACAATATCATGGTTTCTTTCATCACTTCTGTTGATTCTTCCTCAAATTCTCTCATATCTACCTCTTGCTTTCCTTTCTTATTACTCTAGTTCATTTACACCTCACTGATTACAATAGACTCATGTCTGATGTTTCTGTTGCCTAATACTCCACGTCTATATTTTTTTTAAAATATATATTTTATTGGTGTTTTACAGAGAGGAAGGGAGAGAGATAGAGAGTTAGAAACATCGATGAGAGAGAAACATCGATCAGCTGCTTCCTGCACATCTCCCACTGGGGATGTGCCTGCAACCCAGGTACATGCCCTTGACCGGAATCGAACCTGGGACCCTCCAGTCCGCAGGCCGATGCTCTATCCACTGAGCCAAACCGGTTTTGGCTCCACGTCTATATTGAAGCTCATATATCTTTGCTAAAACATAATTTTTATCATGTCACATCTCTGCTGAAAATCAGCAAGCTTCCCCTTTCCATATGATAAAATTCAAACTCCTCACTAAATGTCCATCTTATCTACCTCCTTTCCCTCCTTGTACTATTTTCATAGCACAAAATTAGGTATCCGTCTTTCAAGCCTGAATTTCAGTCATATCTTCTTACCTTATCCCTGAGTCTAAATTCATCTCTCTCCCTTCTTTGAATACTATCTGAATCACACATTTTAGCATTTAAATATACAACATATGGAGGTGATATGTACATACAGTATATTAGAATTTAGAAAGTTGTATGTACAAAAAGTATAAAAGAACTAAATTGCAGAGAGAAACACTACCTGCTTCAGGCAGAGGGACTGTGCTGAGGAAAGGCAAATCCACCAGAGCTTTTGTTTATTTTTTTAAATATATGTTATTGATTTTTTACAGAGAGGAAGAGAGGGATAGGGAGTTAGAAACATCCAGGGCATGTCTGGCCTGTCTCGCCCAGTCCCGCCCCACTGTTTGAGAGAGAAACATCAATCAGCTGCCTCCTGCACAGCCCCTACTGGAGATGTGCCAGCAACCAAGGTACATGCCCTTGACTGGAATCGAACCTGGGACCCTTCCGTCTACAGGCCGACACTCTATCCACTGAGCCAAACTGGTTAGGGCAACCACCAAAGTGTGTGTCATAGTGACCAGTGATTCCCAGTCGTTGTGCTGTTAGGGTCAATTTGCATGTTACCCTTTCTATATATAGGATAGAGGCCTGGTACATAGTGGAGGCTGGCTGGTTTGCCTTGAAGGGTGTCCCGCATCAGGGTGGGGGTCCCGCTGGGGTGCCTGGCCAGCCTGGGTGAGGGGCTGATGGCTGTTTGCAGGCTGGCCAGGCAAAAAGAGGGGGGACCATCACCCTTTGGAGGTTTAGCCAGCCTGGGTGAAAGGGGCTGATGGCTGTTTTCAGGCTGGCCACACCCCCTTTAGGGTGGGGGGTCCCCACTGAGGTACCTGGCCATTCTGTATGAGGGGCTGAGGGTCGTTTTCAGGCT